CAGTTGTTTAGAAATATAACAATTTCTTATTCGTTTCAAAATTAATTTTAATTTAATATAATTTGGGATTGATACTTGTCAATAAATTTCGACTTAATTGGATAGAAATTTAAGGCTTTTAATTTATCGATGCGAGAAAGAAAGCGAGATAATAATTATACAAATATGATTTTTCATAAATTGTTCATCGTAAAAACATTGAATCTCGAATTTGTCATGAAAAACGCATGATAAATGAAATATTTCACATATAAAATTTCAAAACGAAGCTCGAGCATTTGCTTTGAGGCTCGGTATTTTTATAATTAACGATAGCTTGATTATCCTATTGTCTCGACAACAAGATCCGAGCTTTTAATATTGAAGGAAGAAGAGAGCTTCGCTAGATACGCACATACGCAGCAACGAGAGATTCACAGATGTTGCGAAAATGAAAATACTTCTCTTTCCGTCTCTCTCCCCCTCTTTCTCTCTCTCTCTCTTTCTCTCTCGGTCTAACCAGCGAAGCGAGAAATAACTGCAAATAACGTTCGGGGATTACTCAGTTACCGCGATACACTTGTACTCCGGTACTCTCTGGATTCTCTTCTATCGTGGTGCAGTAACTGGGTTTCCACTTCCTATCTGATGTACAGTCGCTTACGCTTTTGTGACGAATATCTCTCGTGTATGTACATGCTCGTCAGCCATGGCAAAGGGAGAAAGAGGGAGAGAGAGGGAGAGAGCGAGAGAGGGAGAGAGACAGAGAGAGGAAGAGAGAGATTCCGGACAAAATACATGTTCGTCCCACTCGACACGTTCACTGACAAGGGGGAATTGAAAAGCTGTCTGGCAATCCGGACGGCTTATCCTGACCCAACCCCATCGTCTCTCCCGGTCCTTTTCTCTCTTCCTCTCCCATAGAGTCTATGTTCTACTCCCGCCTGCAACCACTCGCTCCGGGAGAACGACCCTTTTACTGGTCCCGTCTCGGTCTCTCTCTCTTAAGCGTGCACGACGACCGATTAACGTCTTCGAGTGCCGGTAAACTATACTAGGGTTGCTTCGCTAGTTATATTTTTTTTTAGAAGGACGAGGAAGATAGTCGGTTATATCTCGCTCGAGAGCAGTCCCCGGTATTAACCCTGTAATTCTAGCAGCACCGAGCGAAAACTGCGGGGGAACTTTTAATTGAGAGGACCTGTGCGAAAAGGGAGCAAATTCTGAAAAAGAGAGAAACAAACCGGAAAAAAATTGCTCTCCGCTCCGCTCCCAGACTTTTTCGGGTTTATTATGTTATTTTTGTAACTAAATTTTCAATTAAAATATCGTCCGCGTCAAAAGAAACTTCGGTCTAAGCTCCCTATCATTGAATCCGAAGGACAGTAATAACGTAACAATCCACTATAGCGGGAGTGACGCTCTTTCAAATTACGACTTAAAAATTAACATTAAATTAATAATAATTAATAATACAAATTAATATTAATAATACAAATTAAATTAATAATAAAAATTAATATTAAATTAATAATAATTAAATTAATTTCCTCTTCGAAAAGAAACTTGTCTGCGCACTGACAAAAAGTCTGGTTGCATTAATTAGAAATCTGATAGATTCAACCAGTATGTCTGTTGGAAAATGGACGAATCAGAATTCCTTTAGGAATGAGTATGATTAATTTTTTCCTGTTTAATTTATCAAATTTTCTTAGTAATAATACTAAATTGACAAAAAAATGGCATCACTCTATCCATGTTTAGTTAATATAACAAGAAGTTTTATAGATTTTCCTGGAAAATACCAACCAAATCTTCGGAGTAAAATTTATTAAAGTTATAAGAAATCGAATTTTATTGTGATAACTAGAAATTCTTGGTTCAACCGAAATGCCTTCTATCAGATGCAACCAAACGATTTTTCTCAGTGCGACTCTCGATTATATTTCCACCCCGCTTTCCTTCCGATGCGCGATATCGCGCGGAATCATTACGCGCATATTTTACACAGTCGAAATGTAGCAACGACGCGGCAATTAACATCGAGGTAGTCGGTGAAATTTTCGACGGTGCTCGGGTTAATTATTCCGCGGCAATTTAGCTGGCGGTAACGAGCCGGCGCGGTGGCAGCGGCAATTGGGTGCCAGGTGGAATTATTGTAGCGACGTGTCCCGCCCCGGCCATTTACATCGTAACAGCAACGTAATACTACTCGACTCCGTCCCTAGAATTTGCTCTGCGGTCTGACTGCTCGTGCGCCGCTATGGTGGTGATACGGTCAAGTCCCCCTTCTAACCCTGCCCCCCCCTCCCCCCTTCAGCCCCATCTCCGTCATCATCAATCGCGATAATTATTGTGTCGGTAAATACTTCATGAACGAAAACAGCCGGCGATCAGCGAACGCACTTATGGCGACGCGCGACACGATTAAATGAACGATATTATGTGTACACACGCGTCATGGTTTCCAACCAAACCAAACGCGTTTGGTTGAGCGTTTTCGATGCGGTAACGATGATGTTAACATCGACGACAACGGTGGTCAACATCAAAGAGAGAATCAAGCACGTCGTTGCATCAATTCTGCGCTCATCATTAAGACTCATAGATATATGTATATCGATCGATTCCGGATGATATGAATATGCTGTAGTTGCAGATATCAACTCGATGCTAAAAGCTTTAAGGATGTTTTGTATCTATTTTGAAAATATTGAGAATTTAATGAAAATTGTACAGAATGTCCTTACATATGTTTAAAATCTTCAGTACAATTTTTAAATCGATTTACTAAAGCGTTCACGAGTTATAAGAATTTTAATTTGCACCGAATTAAAATGTGTTCTTATGGGAAACATATAACCACGTCGATTCAAATGACAAAAACATGGAAATAATATTCAGAATTTGATTATTCAGATTTTTTTTTTAAATTTGCAAAAGTTTAGATACAGAGGAAATATTTCGTCAAATAATATTATACAAGTACTAACTGGTTAAAAAGATATTAAATATAATTCAATGAAGTTAGCCATGTATCTGTCACAAGGCGAAATTCTTTGCCAAAAGTTAATCATTTCGATTAACAAAATTGGGAATATTTCAGTAAAAACGCAATAAATATTAAAAAATACATCTCTGCACTGTAGCTAAGATAAATTGTAATATTCACACAATTTCTTACTCAAAATACACCAAAAGTGGATATATTCGTCAATATTGATTTTCAGCTACTTTTTGCTAGGATTGTACAAAACATCCTTAAATATGATAGGAAGAAACTGAAGAGGCATCATTGTCACGACTTTTTCAAAATATTCGATATGACAATAATTCGAATAAAATCTTACGTAAAATTTGCTTTAATTTAAAAGCGAATATGTAATAAAGTTTTATTAATTATTTATATTAAATATTCACCCTGCAAATTTAACACGCAGACATATAAGAGAATTAAAAATTATATTTATACCCTGAAAGCCCTATTTAATTTATTTAAGTGATACTCGAAGAAAGATCGATTTTTTAAAAGGATCCAAAATAATTCTTAAGCGGAAGAAAATACCGGAAATCAGGCGGCTTCTGACTAGCCTAAATACGTCATTTCGTGTGTACAGCAAACGATTTCTCGAGGGGAGGATTCGATTAAACGAGTGAGCGTCGGGTACGACGTTAATTCGATTAACTTTGCGGCGGCACCTTGTTTGCCATTGAGTGTCGTGTTGCGGGAAAATATTTCGCTGGTCGTTTACAGGGGAGACATCGCATGGTCACGTATCGGGATGGGAGCGATGAGGGGGAGGAAGTGCGGAGCTACTTTCCTTACAACGCAAACATACTCCGTTATTAAACCGCGGAGACGTGTACTTTTATTCACTCACCGTCGAGTGAATAAGAGTCACACCGTAATAAATTGCTTCTCGGATCGAAAAAAATGGACGTTTTCGCTACGGAAACTATCGAAGAATTTCTCAAAAAAAATAAATTTACATGTCATTCGCATAAGTAAATAAGATCTTAAATAATTTTCATCAATATATATTAAATTTGGAAGTGTCAAATGAATTTAATATTTTTTAAATTATTAATTTATGTCATCTTAGATTTTTATATAAAAAAAGAATCTCATTTTTTTTAAATTTTCTCGATTTTGTGACTCTCATTTCAGTTTCAAAATATTTCCTAGAATCTAATTAGTATAAACGTACTTTTAAGGGTGAAGCTATTAACTTTATTGCACATCACTGTGCTCAATATAAATTCAATATGATTCAAAATACTTGTCAATAAAAAAAAATGATTTAAGAATCTCTTTTATACTAGCATCAATATGCATCTACCTGAATGGTTGCAATCAATCTAAAACCATCGCGACAAAATCAACAAGCATTCGGAAATTAAAAATATAATCTCATTTTTCCACAAAATGAATAAAAATAACGATTTATTATTAATTATGATTTATGAAAATTTATCATTTTAATTTCAAAATTTGAACTGAAAATCTGATTAATATCCGTCTCGATGCAATTAATTTAAAATGAATGATTGTTGATCGAACGTCGGACGGTTTCGAAATACCCGACGACTTAAGGCGTGACCCTGTCACGTTGCACGGCCACGTGCCGGTCGGTCGAAACGCACGTGCGATCACTCACAGAGCGACGGTGGTGGAGCCGTATATTATCGTCGGACGATCGCAAACACTCGACGATAAGGGAAGAATTGTCGCCGCTGGAAATATGTCGCGCGTCCGTTTCGTGTCCTCGTGTGCGTGCGGCGAATCCTTCCCGTTGTTCACGATGACAGGATTTTGCGCGCAAACACAATCACGCTAGCGTAACCGCACGCGATCGACTTACTGCACGCGATGTCCATGCACATAGATCTCGAGATGCAATCGCAGCGAACGCGATAAAATTCGCAAAACTCTTCTCCTTCTCTCGAATTTTCTAATTGCTATTTATTGTTTTATTTACCCTCGTGCGATCGCGTAGATAGACTAGATCGGCGAGACTCACCGTTTCTCGAGGAGGGCTCCAGCATTGGGGCGACGTACTCCGTCCGCTGTGGCTGCTCATGGCGGAATTCGAGGCTGAGTGAAGATTCTGAAGACTCGCGTTGAGCGGCGTCACCGGGTCGTCCTCCGTCGTCTCGATGTCGACCTCGTCGTCGGAGTTGTCTTCCTTCTGGCTTATATCTGTTGGCCGTTCCGGAATGACCGCTGGCTCGACGATGGGTGGCCCGCGAATCACCGGACGGAATGCAGATTGATGTAAAGTTGGATTGACGGTTGGAATCAAAGGTTCCGTGGGGCTGGTATCGCTTATGGGCGGCGGTAGCGGTCCTGGAAACCGTGATCATTCAATTATCGAGACGATTATTAGTTGATTACGCAAGATTTTTATGATTGACAATTTTACGATACTCTTCGTGTAAATGGAAAGCGTGATTAACGATTTTACAGCTGATGAACATAAATTGATCATTAATAAATTAATTTTTGATTAATGATTATTAAAAATATTTCAACTGATCAGCAAGATATAAAGATTAAGAGTCAGTAAGAATGGAATCCAAGAGAGGAAAAAAATTAGGATTGCACAAGACCCAAGACAAAACAATATTCGTAAAAATATTGTATTGGTATTGAAAATTTTGAAAAATTTAAATTTTGTTTTGATCTTGAGTGAATATTGGTAGCAAAAATCTCGTCTTGTATTGTCTTGTCTCGATTTTATTAACAATTTTTTATCTAATATTAAAAAATTATTTAAATAATATTTAACATAATTTTTGTAATATAATTTGAAATAATTATTACTATGGTATTATATTTTAATTATAATTATTACTATGTAATCGATAAATGCCGTGTATTTACATAAAAAAACATTTACGAGTACTATTTCATGGAAAACAGAAATTAATAACTATTTACAGGCTCCAAGGAAATGTGCAGATATAAATATATAATTTGGAGTGGTAAAAAAATCAAGTTCATATTTATCCTACATTGTCAAAGATGGCTCGAGACATTTTAAGTTCAACTGCCTTGTCCGTGCCAGTAGAAAGATTTTTCTCAATAAGAACTCTGACTATGTCAAAAAATAGAACCAGATTACAAAGTAAATCTTTAAAAGCACTAATGTGCATCAATTCCTGGGTGAAATGTTCTTTAATGTCTAAAATTTGCGAGTTTGATTTCTAATTTATAAAAATGTTATATTGTATTAATATTAGATGTTTTTAAATTTATTAATATAAATGTTTTTATTGAATAAAATTGTTTTAAATTCGTATATAGTGATTTTTTTTCATTTAAATTCAAATATAAATATTTTAGTTTTTTTGAGAACCAATAATTTTGACAAGACTAATAATCTTGACAGTCTTAATCTTGATATTGTCTTGATAATTAATTAAAAATCTTGTCTTAAAATTCAAGACAGAACAAGATAATATCAAGACTAATCTTGGTGTCTCGTGCAACCCTAAAAAAAATTGTAATTTTTCTAAAAGATTGCAATAAATTCGACTTCTTTAAAATAGATATTCTTCAATTATTCAAAATTACATCTCAGTTATATTCGCAACTATATTTTTATAAATCACTTACCGGGAAATAGGACGGGACTCCGCTTGGTCAGCCAGGGCAGAGCGTAAGGCGGGAAGGCGAACGGGCTGGGTGTCTTGGCCGCGGCGACCGCCGCCGCTTGTTGATGCTGATGCCACACATAGTCCATGACGAGGCTGCGGGACAGCGGCAGGGGTAGTTCCGGAAATGGCGGTACGCGTGGGTGCGCCGGTGTCGGCATCAGAGTGGGAATCTGAGCGGTTGTGTTCGGCGATGATCTGGGTTGTTTGGCCGGACTCGGCGACTCCCGGGGGCTGTTCGAGTTACCCAGCAGACGTTTCCTGGTGCCACCGTTGAACATCGCCTTGACGTCCTCCCAGGCGTGCACCACCTCGTCCGGTGGGCTGCCTGATAGCTTCATGTGACGACGCCACGAGTTAAAGTTGGCCGCGTCCGGTTGCACGTACTTGTCGGATGGACCGATACGGTGCGAGTGGAAGATGAATTTATTCGGCGAGAAGAACAGGCCGCAGTACGTGCACTTGATGCATTTGGCGCGCGAGCTGTTGTAACGGGCAGGTAAAAATGCGCCACGGCAACCCCAGGCGCATTCGTGGTGAACGGAGAACGCAAAGTCCTCGGGCAATCTGCGTAAAACCAGCCCCCTTATATAGATTTTTAGATAACTCTATATTAATTATAATTAGGATAAGAGGGAGTCCATCTCTTTCGATTCGACTCCAACTAACTCTGAAGTAGAAGTAAAATATGTATTTTATAAAATTTCTCACTTTACTAAGAGAAAGACAGAAGAGAAAAACAAGTAGGATTTCGAATGAAAAGCATTAACAAAAATTCTTTTCTTTATGATGATTTAGTTATTACGATATTTTGCAAAGTTCGTGCAGCTGCAATAATCATCCCCTACCAACCTAGGGGGTGCGTTGTCGCCGAGGAAGGACTTGCAGAGACGTTCCGCCTCTCTACGAGTAATCATGCCGCATCTACGCGAAGACACCGGCATCGCGCCCGCACGACGAAGTATTTCTAGCTGCACCGGCGTGCACTGCACGCAGGTGATACCCAACGCCACTCGGCGATTGTGGATCTCGTTGTAGCTGAACTGCTTCAGCAGGGTGTTGCTGATCTGCGCGAGACACAGCCTCTCCTGGCCCTCGATCACCAGCGACACGATGTGGATCCCGTAAAGCGACACGGTACCCACCTGCAACTCCTATTAGTTTAGTTGTACCACGATGTTCCACGATGTACCACGATGTTTAGCTTGATCTTTTTTATTCATTTATTTGTTTATCTATGGCCATTCCCCTACATGAAAAGTTCTCATAATTCATAAAATTATTCTAATAGGTACAATGATTCAATACATGTATATAATCGAGATTTTATAATAATACACTTTTATCTATCTCGCAAGGATATAAAGATCTGAAACATTTATATAACAAAAATTCTTTCTAGATAAATATACATATACAGGGTGTCCCAAAACTCATAATCAATCTTTCAAAGACAGATTCCTGGGATGATCTGAAGACGATTTTTCCTCAACGAAAATGTCGAGGCAATAATTTTCGAATTATAAGTGATTGGAAATAAGGAGTTTTTCGTAAACTAAGCTTTGTGGTAATAAAATATTAACAAAACCACATTCTTCGATTAAATTTAAATAGAGTTTACTTTAGTTGAGTTTTAATTTAAGGCTTAATTGCGAAGATATAAGATGACAAAAATTAGAAACATGCAAAAAATGATGGCCTTCATTTTCGCTGAGGAAAAATCGTTTCCAAATGATCCCAGGAATCCGTCTCTGAAAGATTGATTATGAGTTTCGGGACACCCTGTATATATATGATATTAATTTATATAATTTACTTAAAGTTTTTTAAAAATTGTGTCTTATTTGTTTATTCTTAGTAAATATCTTTTTGCTTAAATTTATAGTATTTTGAAAATTCTAATCCATTAATTTCGAACGTTATCTGATCTCTGCGTTTACCTGATTCTGTTTTGGATGGGATTGCGGTTGCGGTGATTGTGCCGATTTCTGCGAAGATGTCGGCAGCGGCGGCATCGACAGCACTGCCGGCCCATCCATCCTGAAAAAGAGATTATTGTCGAATTAATAAGAGAATGTATGAATAGAGATGATATATTTATCATCTTATATTATTAATACCTAATTGAACGATCAAAATATAAATTGACATTAAAAGAAATCATATTAAAAATTTACATATTAAAAACATACAATATCTATCTATTTATTAACTATACTTATTAAAGTATGTCGTTAAATGTTATATGCAAAATGTCTGACAATCATTTTAATCATCAAGAGAGATATATGATATTAAATTTTCAAAAATTCTGAAAATATGTTTAATTAAATATTCATAAACAGAAAACTCCATCTTAATACAATGTTATTATCTTGCTTTAATAAACGTATATTTTATTAAAAATTACGTATTTTGTAATCTCCACTTTTTCATGCATTTAAAAATCATTGCTGCCATTGTCATTTCTATCATTGTTCCTAAAATTGATTGTTTTAACAATGTTTCGGAAATTGTTCGTAATTTTGCGCTGTCTATATCGCGTTATTCGGGTCCCGAGCCTATTCGACCTAATGGAAAATGCATCATCGATGCGACGCGGCAATAATTCGCCTCTCGACGTAGTTTTTATCATCATCGACGAGATTGATTATAATCTCTGATGTTTTACGGTCGCGCTAATAAATTCCGCGTTTCCCGCTCGCACAGGATAAAAAAAACATTCTCCTCCGCTCTCATATCTCTTCCATCCTCTCGTTGTAATTATATTTATTACACTTTATCGATCAGCGTTCTCTGTCGCTCCCTCTCCCTCTTCCTCTCTCTTTCTCTCTCCCTCTATTTCAATGTGCCGCCGCGTTCGGCGGATGCATTCAGCTCAATTAAATCGCGGGCCCTTCTCTCGTTTTTGCTCTGTCCCGACCGATTGCCGCGCGATCGCCGACCAATTAAATCGCGAACGATAACATGACTTTTCATAACGTAAGCGGTAACGCGCGGTGCTCTCAGACCTCCATTTATTCGATCTTTTTTGACAAAAGGATAAAGGCCGAAGCTCTCTTTTTCCAGTGATATTTTTACAAAAGCGAATATGGAAACAATGATAAAACTGGAAGCTGGATTATAAACGGATTTGCAAACTAAGGCTAGTTTCGCAAATTTATTTTTCACAAAATATTCAGTGTATGTATATCAGTTTATATTTATCTTGATAAAAAACAAATTATTGATTGTTGACTGAGAATTGTTAATTATTTTAATTGCGTAATAAATATAGTTTATATATTTTATCTCGCACATTACATTTATTATTTTGATATTTAACTAAGAGATCTATTCAGTAAGATGCTGATACCAAGTTAATCAGAGATAAAAACGTGAAGGTGTTTATCCGCGATTGGGAAAAACACGCGTGCCGATTAAAAGATGTGATTAAGTTGTTTTTTCGTCGTCGTTGTCGTCATCGTCGTCGTCGTCGTCGTCGCTCGAAAGGCCTTTCTTAATTATCAGACGGTGATTAAGCGAATCCAAAGACTCACTGAAATTAAACTCGCGCGATCAAAGCGCTGGTCGCTGGTCGCGTATTCTCTCTTTCTATCTTTCTTGAATCACGGAATAGAATTAAGGATGATTAAATCCCTTTTCTCTCGCTTAACCTTCTTTCCGGCTTCTTTCCGTAATCGGTAATTGGTTGATTCATTAATCGCGCTGAGAAAAACAATGTTACTGCGCGCTGATCTCTTGACTTAGCTCTTTGAAAAAAAAGGTAAAAAATATCAAGAAAATTTTTAAAAATTATAAACATGTATTTTTCAAGTAACTAGCTTTGTTTTAAAGGAAAAAAATTTCTTCGTGCTTCACAATTACGTTTAATATCTCTTCAATCAACGTGACGATATCTGATTGAATACCGTATTCGCGACAGGCATGAAGGGGCTTTGGGGGAAAATAATTTAGTAGCAAATCAATCGGCACGTCTCTGTATTTTTTTCCATAAGTCAAAGTGACAAGAAATTCGCGAAGAGAGGAATACGAGCGAGAAGCCTTTCTCAATGAGACTGATTCGCCAGGTTACATGGAGTAGACTTCCTTTCGCGGGGACCGTCAGATAAGGAAGAAAAGAAAAAGAAAAACGTAATGCTAAAGGCGAAAATGAGAGTCGGCTCCGCGAATCGGGTTCTTTATCCTCTTAGCGGAAACGGAAAAGAAGAGATCGAAAAAGTGTCTGCAATAAGTGACTTTCTTCGTTAGTTTAAGTTGGTGCGACAAGGATTTTCGGCAGAGAATTTTTGAAAAACGAATTTTTTAAGAGATGAAGATTGACGAAAATTATTCCTTTGACGGCAGCTTTGTAATAAATTTATTCTCAAATGTATAAGAAAAATCATATACATTTTTCTAGAGATAGAAAAGAGATAAAAAAATATAGATAAATATATATGCGACGTATAAAAATCTTATTCCACAAATAGATTAATTAAATGCTCTAAAATATTTGGAAAATAATTTATCTTTAGAAAATGTGCGCACATCGAATATTGAATTATTACAAAAAAAAAACAATTCTCGACGTTGCAAGAGATTTTTCATCAAAAAATGGACGTGGAGTAAGAGTGGACACACGATAAATAAATCACTGGAGAAGAGAATTCCGGTGTATCTCTCTATCAAATAACGTAACACGAAATGGTCGTTACCACACGAACGATACAGTTATATATAACCGAGTTAATAATATAATGCACACATAAGACAACAGAGACGCGGAAAACGGGGAGAGCGAAAGAGTCGGGAAGGTGGCTCGAGAGAGGAGGAGGAAGAGGAGAGGGATACATCGCGGAACAGGTACGCGCCGATTAGGAAGAGAGATCAAAACGGTCGGCGGGGAGAGGAGGGCGAGCGGAGCACGCGGGGTCGGGGCCAACCCCCGGTGTTGATTTTAATTGAAAACGCCTCCGTGGAGAAGGTAGCGCGCGCACACGTATATGTATACGTGCACGGGTACGTGTGCACGCACACGGATACCGATGCAACCTCCCCCCTCCCCCGACGTCCGGAGGCAGCGCGAGAGCGCCAGCGCCCCGGCAAACGTCCCCGGGGAACCGTGGTACAAGGGGGTAATTCAATTTGACACCCCCACCCACGCTTAAACAAGGCAGCACCCATCCGAGCGTTCTCCCTTCCCTCCTCCTCCTCCTCCTCCTCCTCCTCTTTCTCTTCCTCTTTCTCTCTCTCCCTCTTATTCGTTTTCTCTTCCTCTTTCGTCGCTGCTACCTCTCGTACCGTGCAAATTAAATTCTCATCCACCGTGAAACAATGTCGGTACCCGACCCGGAACAATCCTCCCCTGGCTGTCCTCTCCTCCCCCTCTCGTCGTCCGTCCATCGCGAGTTTTCCCGCTTCCCTCTCCTCCCCTTGCCACCCGCGCTTCGACGAGCCTCGCGGATTCCGTTGGTTAGCGGTCGGACGGATCGGACTCGAATCGACCGCATTAATTACTCGCTACTTACAATTATAGCGCAGACCGAATAGAACGGATGGTCGATCGTTGCAACGATCGCGAGATACTCGACTTAATGAAAGGTACTCAACTGTCATCCACGTTAGGAATGACGTTCCAACAGAAACTTTGGAAGTATCGATTATAATTTATATATATGATGATTCACATAATTATACATTCAATAATGAACTCTTCCTCTTTAGCTCATGTATTAATAAAATATTTTTCATTATAAATTATTACATGGAGAGTGATGAGCAATAAACATTCAACTTTGAGAATTAAATGTGGATGATGACAGTTAAATATTGTCTCAATTATACTTTAATTTAGCGGAAATTTAATCTAATTCTAAACTTAATAATCGAGAGATTTAAATGGGACGTATAGAAATATTGGAATTATTATTTTCAATTAATTTCAAGTGTACACTGAAAAAAATCGTTCAATTGTACCAACAAGACGTATATGATTGAAGGCATTTTGGTTAAATCAAATAAGAATTTCTAGTTATCATGATATAAGACTCGATTTTTTATAACTAGAACGTTTCATAGATTTTACTATAAGGATTTGGATAATATTTTCTGGTTGGATCTATAAAATTTCTTTACATTAATTTCCTTGCTTGCCACTAGACGACGAGCCACTCTTAACTTTACTCGTATTAATATTTGCCATGAAATATATATAAAAAACTAGTATTAACATTAAATCCAAAGTATATTTTTTTTTTCTTACGAGCAGTAGTGCCAGAAAGAGGACGCTAGCTCTTTGATTGCGTGTGTTTGAGCTGCATCCTCTTCTTGCATCATTGTTTATCAATTTAATTTCTAACAAACTGAACTTAAAATAATGTACTCAATAATCTGGATTGAATTTATCCAATAATCTTGTTGGAATTCAGAACATTAAACAGACTTTTGAGATTAGATGGAAAAAATTTTAGACAACTTGGTGCTGGCGAGTTTAGTATTATTAACCAGAAAATTTGGTAAATTTAACAGGAAGAAATTAATCAGATTCATCTGGTAATTCCTACAAGAATTCTGGTTCGTCCAACAGACTGGTTGAATCTACCGGAATTCTAATTAATGCAACCAGATTTTTTTCTCAGTGCACTGTTTATTAGTTTAATTTCTAACAAACTGAACTTAAAATAATTTGCTCAATAATCTGGATTGAATGTATCCAATAATCTTTGGAATTCAGAACATTAAACAGACTTTTGAGATTAAATGGAAAAAATTTTAGACAACTTGATGCTGGCGAGTTTAGTATTATTAACCAGAAAATTTGATAAATTTAACAGGAAGAAATTAATCAGATTCATCTGGTAATTCCTACGAGAATTCTGGTTCGTCCAACAGACTGGTTGAATCTATCAGAATTCTAATTAATGCAACCAGATTTTTTTCTCAGTGCATTGTTTATCAGTTTAATTTCTAACAAACTGAACTTAAAATAATTTGCTCAATAATCTGGATTGAATTTATCCAATAACCTTATTGGAATTCAGAACATTAAATAGATTTTTGAGATTAGATGGAAAAAATTTTAGACAACTTGGTGCTGACGAGTTTAGTATTATTAACCAGAAAAGTTGGTAAATTTAACAGGAAGAAATTAATCAGATTCATCTGATAATCTCTATCAAGAATTGTGGTCCATTTTCCAAAAGACATACTGGTTGAATCTACCAAAATTCTAATTAATGCAACCAGATTTTTTTCTCAGTGAACACTTTAACTCAAGGAGATTTAATGATTAAAAATTGTCAAGATAGAAACCCGCTTATTGTCATAATCATCGAGATGCGACGAGAGTTCAGAGAAATGTCGCTGTGAGATTACATAGGATTGCGTCGACGCCGGAGATTGCGCGCGCGAGATAGACGAGGGGAACGAGAAGTCGCGACGGCGCTCTCTCAGGATTACGTACCCGCGGGCTCGCGGATTATTTAAATGCAAACACAATGTTGTACCGGGGCGTATTGTTCCCCTCTCGGTTATTTTACAATTCAATCTGCGATCCCGGGGCTCTCTCTCTCTCTCTATCTCTTTTCCTCTCTTTCTCTCCGAGGAAACGCGGCTGGAGAGACGATGGGAGAGACTCGCTCGCTCGTTCGTTCATTGTAACATTGTTAAATCTCCGTCCTTCCATCATGACTATCCCTCCTGTCCCTCTCCAGACCTCAATCCCCGAGGTCCTCTCTCCTTTCGATTCAACTTGTTCATCTCTCGCGTTAGAAAACACTCTTTTTTTCCTCTGTCTCTCTCTCTCTCTCTCCTTTTTTTCCCTTTTCTCTTTCGGTAATTGTACGCGTTTCGCAGATTCTTCGTATAATTTATGAGCGGCTGCCTTTCCTCACTTTTCTCCGTAGCCTCTTCTGCTATCCTGTCAGCGGAGATGTAAATCATCGGAACAGCAGGTGTATAATCCTGTCGGACCACGAGGCGCGAACGCGCGATGTAATCAGTATTAATACGTCGATGTCATCGCGTCGCTCGGTCGCCAATATTTGATTGCGCTTGACACCCGCAATTAATCCTCGTCGATCTGGCCTCGTCGAGTTTAATTTCGACTCTCGATTAGACCGATTACGTGAAAATCGATTTCGTAATTAAATATCTCCTACAACTCTCGAGTAAATATCTATTTCTAAAAATTACCGGATAATGCTTGCGTTACGATTACAAATCCATAAATCCTTTGATCATTTATAATGCGATATCGATATTATAGACATAAATATGATATTAATTACGATAGTGGCAAAAGTTGTTGCGCGTTCACTTTGCTTTTATACTAATTCATATATAACATTGTTAATTCTTAATGCTTCTCTCGCGGCGAAGTGTATCGGCTTTGTCAGTAGCACGTTAATCCCTTAGCCTTTGTATTTTGTATGCGCGTTAAAATGTTATCATCTAGAGTGGCATCAGAGGCAAATATAACAGCCGCGGGCTGCTGTTCGGAGTCTGTCAAGAGGATCAGGAGATTAAATATGCCATTCGGATAATAATTTTAATAACCGGAATGTGCTCTCTATGATCGTCATAAGTATTTAGCTCAACTTGGGAGTCTCTTTACTTTATAAGCTCGGTATATTTTTACAATTGTGATTTATATCACAAGTTGCCGAGTTGCCTTTCCGGAAGAGGAAAAAGGAAAAACGCGTTTATTTCACGATTCAAAGATTACGCAAATATTAAGCCGACATGATTTATCATGTTATAGATAACTTTATAGATTTTTTGCTAAAAATAATAAATAATACGAAAAGAAATAAAATGTGCAGGTCGAACGAAACATTTTTAGGAAAATTAATTTATTTAGAAAAATATATCCTACAAATCTGATAAATATCAGGCAACAATTTTCCTTATCAGTAAAAAAAAAAACTTTAAATTCAACACATTTATAATGGAGTATTTATAAGATAAGAAGATTTTCTTTATTTCCGATGTCTGCTTTTTTCAGGAAAAAAAGCGAGGAACTGTAAAAAGATACTTGAAAAAAAAATAAAAATCTAATTTTTAGAATAATTATGTTGCCTTAGCATATATTACAAAAGTGTTAGTAAATCATCAGATTTGTTTAAAGACGTATCCTGAGATTTCTCAAAGTTCTTGCTTAAGAAAAACTTGTCTAACGAAGAGCTATAAATCACGCCCGTGTAGCCAACCAAAAAATTAGAGCGAGACAGGTCTTTCCGATCAATCCGGAAACTTTCAGAAACTCGATCGCACCTGAGAGTCCAAGTAATTCTGTATATGTGTGTGTGCATGTGCTTATTAATTTAATCCAAACGAAACATTTTCTGAACTGTTAATTGTGCGTTATTGCAAACCCCATATTTGTGTTTTGCTATATTTCCTTTTTAAAAAAATCTATCTGCGATGAATAACTTCATAATTTCCTTTAATATTATATAACGAAGGGATTATACTAAATTCATAATCCATAGGTTGCATTTAACGATAAATGTACGGTGAAAGATACGGTGAATATCTGCATTAATTAATATCTATCTAATTAAGGTAATTTAGTCTGTGTTAATAATTAAACTTATATATGTTTAATCGTTTTATTTTTATAGGCTTTTTTCTAATCGGAATGTAATAAAATAATAATGCGTACACAGGTTGTCGCTTCAGACATTTCTTGTAACAGGCAAATCAACAGCGGCTAATCCCATGCACAAACAGTTTATGGCGTTTGTTCGTTCGGCACTTCTACCCTACGCGACGACCCCGCGTCCTCATGGGACCAGTTTGCTCGGGACCCGTGAATCGACTATCAATCTATTTAGCAATGTCCGAAGGGGGCTCTCTTTACGACACTGATTCACTTCGAAAGCTCGGCGAAACTCGTTAGAATTATTCTCAAACTTCAATACGACTTTATACTTTAACAATGATTACAATCTTAACGAGCAAATACGTAATCCATGCGTAATAAACTTATTCATCTCACTGTATTTTCTTACATCTCATTCATTTAAAATGAAATTATATTTATTTCTAATTAAAATGAAGGAAAAGAGTCGCAAGAAGTAGCTGAAATATAAGAAGAAAGATGCAACAAGATGTAGAAAATAACTGACAATAAAGAGAACTTATAATAGGAGTCATATATAAAAGACATAAAAATTCAAAGCTTTTCTACGGAATGCAAGTTACGACAAAGCCCATACCTGAAAATGCAGACGCCAACAGTCGGAAATGACGACTGTTTCACAATTTGAATCACGATCGCCAACCGACGATCAACGTCCAAGCTGATTTTCTTCTCCAAAAACCTCTTCTTCAGCTTTCTTTCTTCGATTGCAACGAAAATTATCTTCAAATATGACAGGCACTAAGTTTCCTCAGCTACGTCAACAAGATCGTTCAAGTGTGAAGACTCTCTTCTACTACATGATCAGTTTCTCCATGAAATCCATAAAGTTTCATTGTCTCGTGTCACGACAAGGACTCGCCTCTTCAACACCAACGATGAGTAGCTCAATCGCTTCTTCCGCTCCTCCAGGTCCTCGGCCCAATGTCTAAATTATCTCAATACGACAATTAAACCTCCGCACCCCGACAGGGCAATACTTGTTACTGCCGACTACGGGACGTGTTCAGAAACAGGTTTGCTCGCTCGCGAGCTCGACCGTCCGCCGCGCACGGGGTGCGTGTCGGACCGTGTTTCGCGTCACCCTCTTTCTCTCCGATCGGCACCCCCGCGGCAAGCGAGAGCGCTAAATCGGGACTCGGATGGTGAAGAACCGCCCCCGAGTGTTCCACCCCCGTGACAACCAACCCCATGCCGACGAAGGCGGAGCCTCCTGGCCCTCTCCGGGGGTGGCTCACCTCAGGGGTAACTACAAACACGTACTTACCGAACGTTATTATTATACCCGCACTCGACCCACGCGCGCGCGAGCGCGCCCAAACGGGGATGAAGGAAAGAGAGCAGGAGAAAGAGAAGATGATAGCGCGCGCGTGTACGCTCGGACTTATGACAGGCTACGGAGTGTTTTAATCTTGTACGCGCTTAGTAAAGACCGAATCGCAAAGAGACTCGTCTTAAATTTGTAACATTAATATTTTTTTAATTCTTTTTTCAAATATCCTTCTTTTATATTTTATGTATATTTTAATTAAATGAAAGATCGCAAGATTTATTTTCCAGGATTTTTATATCGAGAAAAGTCCAAGATAAGGAAAAAGAGACACGACTTTAAAATTTCTTTAAAGAATTTCTCGATGTTATGAGGGGAAAATTGAAGAATTTAACTGCTCGAGTTTTAGAGATATAGATCGAGCTAAAAACAATCTCGTTCTTTGATCAATTTCAGGAGTGAATTTCGTCTTATAGAAAACTTTATGCAATTTAATTGCAAAGATACATAATCAACATCAAGAAAATGATGTAGAATTTCTTTTAAGAAGAGAAAACTGCAATTCTCTGTCGGACGAATCCTCGCTATTAGAATTGGATGCAAAACACCTTGCACATTCGAAGGGATAGTATTTTCACGGAAAACGACTTTCTCTCAGGATATCTTTTTCGTGCGCGCATCGTGATAGGACCTCTCCAGTGTCGCCAAGGAGCGCGTCTACGTCAACGACGATATTCAAGACGATTAAAGAGCGCGCACGAGCGTCTCTGTTCGTTCGCAAATTAAATCCGCTTAACACGGATCTGTACGAGGGGAATAGGACCGATTTGCCGAGACGCTTTTGATCGAGCCGAGAATAACTCGTCGTAGCAACGGTGACAAACAAACGGCATTACATCTTGGACAAGCGACGACGAGCTCACAATCGGACACGTTTCAAAGTTACATTCAATATAAGAAATATACTCCTGGACAAAATTAACTCGTAATTTTTTTTTCTTTTTAAAGCTGATATTTAAATTTTAACGAAAAAATGTAAAGAAAAAGTAAAAAAAAAATTAATTTTGTTCAGGAGCATATTTTCTAATCTAAAAATGCATAAATGGAAATGTGCCAATTTGATTAAAAGTTTAATAACGTCTTGCTATTTTTCTATTAAATTTAATTTCGATGGATGATCTCGTCAATTTTTCTGTTATAGCTATTATATAAACTCGGGTATGTCAAGGTTCAGTGTTGCAAGGAAAGAAATGATACCAGAGAAAAATGATTACAATCGCTTTGCGTATCTCTTTCAACACCCTTCGGCGAAGGCTTCGTTTAACGAACCGCAAAGAGGCTGGTACAGTTTGTAGCCCAGTTGGGGCCATTACGATCTTTCTTTTTTTGCCGTTCACTCTCTCCCCTCCCCCCCGATTCCTCTCGAATCCGTAATAAATATTACGTCAGGGACCCCTGCCAATTATGCCGGACTACCCCGTACATCTCTCTCTTTCTTTCGTTCTGTCTCGACGAAAAGTCACAATGCGCGAACATAAGGTCCGATCCGGAGTTTCATGATCGCCCCTTCGGCGTTGTGTTGTTACCATCTCCTCCTATCCTTCACACCCTCTGCGCAGTCGAGTGTTCGAAAATCCGTGACTGCGTTATTTTATTAATGCCTGCCGTGATCATCGCCGCTAACACACCGCTCGATGACACTGATAGATAGCGCATTAAAAATCGCGCAATTCAAAATTAAGGAATGCTTTTTAAGTAAAATTGAAGCGCACTCAAGAAGGTCCTTCAAAACTACGTAACTCGAATCGCAATTAGAGAGAGGTAATTTTAGAAATGAATATACAGAAAAAAAATAAGTGTCAAATCAAAACTTATGTACTTAAACTAACGCGTTCATTGTTTCGTATATATGCAACAATTTATAATCTTCTTAGAAGAATTTAATAATTTTAAATTTCAACAATATTATAGTCTTATTTTAATATTGTAATTGTCATCCCAAGAATATATAATTATTTAATTCTACTTTAAGAAAATTATAATCTTTGATTTAAAAATGTTGTTTTCTATCTAACATTGTTTCTTTTCTATTCAAGAAAATTAAGTCTTAAATCATAAGAATATATTTTTTTTGATTGAACTATATAAAATGGTTTCATTCAAGCAATTATATTTTTCTTTAATTAATGCAATATAATCTCATTTCAAGACATCCATCTAAAACTAAATATATTTTCAAAACAAGAATGTCCTTTTTTTCTGTGTATAGTTTATAGTTTGTAACATTAAAATTGATATAAAAAGAATTGCTTCTTTATCCTCTCTTTCTTCTGTTATAATTAAATAATTTAAAAACTATATTATTTTACATATAGTGAGTCGTAAAATTTTGTATAAAATAATGTACGTGGACAAATGTAGGTACACAAAAAAAAGGACATTCTTGTTTTGAAAATATATTTAGCATGGAAATCTTAAAATGAGATTATGTTGCATTAATTAAAGAAAAATATAATTATTTGAATAATTGCTTACTTGAATGAAGCCATTTTATATAGTTTAATCGAGAAAAATATATTCTTATGATTTAAGATTTAATTTTCTTGACTGGAAAAGAAACAATGTTGGATAGAAAATAATATTTTTAAATCAAAAATTATAATTTTCTTAAAGTAGAATTAAATAATTATTTTTGAGGTGACAATTACAATATCAAAAAAAGACTATAATATTGTTAAAATTTAAAATTATTAAATTCTTCTAAGATTATAAATTATTGCGTATATATGAAACAATGAACGCGTTAGTTTAAGCATATATAAGTTTAAGTATATTTTGATTTGACACTTATTTTTTTTCTGTATAATAATTAATTATCATTTTTTCCAGGAGACATTTCCCATTTTATCTAAAAAAGAAAAAAATGTGCCCCTCTTATCGGTTCGAATAAAGTGCGAATATCTCGTGAAAATCAAACAACGACCGAATGTTTCCCAGTTAGTGGCCAATTACTCGTCCTAGCGAGGACGTTCGATCGCCACGACGATAAAATTAAACGTGCTTTATTACCGATCGCCCCGGAATAACGATGTTCCGGCGAAACGATCGAGGTAATGAGCTGTCGCGATGATACCGAGCTCCGCTCCCGAAAGAAGATGAAGTGGTTAAGCGCGCGGATCTCAATGGACTGCCGATACCGGGGATCGCTTTGATGAGGGCGCGTGTCGGGTATTAAAGCTACCTTCGGCGATCAGGCCGCCGACCGCACGCGGTCGATTTGCACGAGGATCGACTCTCTCGATGAGGAAATGGCTGAAGCGAATGGGTGCGCTGATAAGTTTGCTTTTCGATACCGGTCAAATCCAAAAGCGGAGAGGGAAAAGCCCCTCACGTCGGTCGTATAATGATGGAAACTGCTGCCATGGTTCCACCCGACAATTGTGCGGCGATAAGCGAGATCGGTGATCGACGTTCACAAAGCGATTATTAACTATCTCGTTGAAACATACACGTGTCTCTCTCGTGGTTACCGTATTTGATAGCGATGTTGTCCGGCAATCCTGAAACAATCAATATCTCATTAGCGTGAATTTTATTAATATAATTTTCTTACTTTTTACAATTAGATTGTCATTTGCAGATTTATAATATTAATTTTCTAGAGATATATGGTATTAATATGTGTTCTGTGAAGATATTATAAGGACATATAAATATAAAGAATATAAATTTAAAGATAGTATAATACATGTATATATATATATATATATATATATATATGTATTTGTTTATGTTTATTTATTTATTTATTTAATCTTTACACTGTATTGTTATTTTTGACACCTTTAAAATGTTCAATTTTTCGACGCGTTTTTCAAAAGATAAAAATGTCTAAGAAATTCATACGTTTTCTTGGATCTTTTAAAATAAAGGCTAGAATAATAAATTTCCAAATAATTTGCTTTAATATATTTTTCAAATATATGAAGTGGAAGTGCATGCTATAAGATAGAGTCAAACTAACTCCCGTAAGCGTGAAGTTACATGTCTGCAATTATAAAGCTTACATTATAGAACAAGATACATAATGATTAAATTACACAGAAAAAGAGGACAGTCTTATTTTAAAAATATATTTAGTTTTAACATGGAAATCTTGAAATGAGATTATATCGCGTTAATTAAAGAAAAATATAATTGCTTGAATAATTGCTTACTTGAATGAAGCCATTTTATATAGTTGAATCGAGAAAAATATATTCTTACGATTTAAGATTTAATTTTCTTGAATAGAAAAGAAACAATGTTAGACAGAAAATAACATTTTTAAATCAAAGATTATAATTTTCTTAAAGTGGAATTAAATAATTATATATTCTTGAGGTGACAATTACAATATTAAAATAAGACTGTAATATTGTTGAAATTTAAAATTATTAAATTCTTCTAAGAAGATTATAAATTGTTGCGTATATACGAAACAATGAACGCGTTAGTTTAAGTATATAAGTTTTGATTTGACACTTATTTTTTTTCTGTGTATACAGTAGCTCTTGTTTTTCTTGTAAAAATCTATCTTTTGAAGACAGCTACATTAATTTATAATGTAAAACTTTAATTCGACTTGTGATGATATTTTGTAAAATAAAATAAAAATTTTATTCTTTCTAATCTATTTTCCAAGTTTATTATCTTGAACGTTTATATGAAATTTGGAAAATGCTGGAAATGTGTTTCATTCGTATGTGCATTTTATGCATAAAATTATTTTCCAAATGTTTCTGATATTGTTGAAATTTAAAATTATTAAATTCTTCTAAGAAGATTATAAATTATTACATACATACAAAACAATGAACGCGTTAGTTTAAGTATATAAGTTTTGATTTGACACTTATTTTTTTTCTGCGTACTTACACTCCGTGACGATTTTGATATTGGATTTTAATTCTGATCATCACCGTAAAATCCAGAAACTTTGTTAGACCGAATCATTATCCAATGTGTACGAAATGACACAATTCGGGGGCAGCACGCGGATGTTACACTTGGCACGACGCGTGCGAACCATGTTTGCTATTTGCATAACGAGCTCTGGTCTCGCGAGGCGCGACATCGGCCCGTTCGGGGGTGACGATGCGTGCGAAATTTCGCGCGAGGGTCGTAATCGTATACGCGCCGAGGTTTCCGTTCGTGACACGCACGACGTGCATACGGCACGGGAATAGAAGGGCGATGCGAGGAGAGGGAAACGATGCGTTCATAAGGCGACGCGATTTTCGAACGTTGCGGCCGCCGGCATACGCGCAGTCAATTAGTTTAATAGGCCGACAGTTGTGTTGTCCGATCTGCCGAAAGGAAGGGTGCCATTGCGCGTTGGGTATCACGCCCCTATCGCTACCGAGGATGGTCACTTTTCAGGAAAGCGTCGATACTTTTGCCATTACTTCAGCGATATCGATTCTAATAGCGTCTTACGTTAATTATATTGTAAGCTAAAAAATGTACATATTATAATTCTTTAATAAAAGTTGTGTATATAATTTAAATAATTAATATTTTATATCCCAATAATAATTGATATAAAAAACAATTAATTCATGTTATATATAAATTATATTAATTACATAAAATTTATATATATGAGCTAACTTTTTTATATCCCAATTTTTTTAGACTTGTGTTGATGCTAGTAATTTTTTCATATGAAATTAATTAATTGTATTTTTTACACATATAAGATTCTTACATTTATGCAACATAACTCTTTAATTTATTAAAAACTAATCGAGATCTTATAAATAATATTCGCAAGCAACTTGTTAGCCATTATAATATCAATTAAATAAATATCAATCATATCTTGCAAGTCATGTATATACGATTCAATATTCTTTCGATGTGTCTGCCAAATAATATCCTTGCGCAATATGATTTTTAAAGAGAGTTTTGGTATATCTTAGGTCAAGTTAAAGTTCATTTAAAGGGGAGATCGCGTGCCGGTCGAAGATACCCGCGGAAAGCGTCACGCATAATGTTATTCCTCGTATCTGTTGTAATAACTGTAATCCGTGCACCCTCGATCCTCTCGACACTAATAGTCGGGGGATAATACAGATTACAACCCCCGCGCACAACCCCCCTCCTCCACTAACGTATCTTCCGTCGACGAATCCGTCCCACCGCGTTCGACTCCTGTTATTCCGTACTGAATGTGTTTGCCACTCGAATAGCAATCTGAAACAATCCCGAAGCAATCGGCGACGGGTTTCTTCGTGGTCAGCACTATCCTCGGGAAATCGATTCCCGATTATTTTTCTCCTTCGGCAATCGAGAAACGAGACGCGAATCCTCGTTTCACGATTCTCCGACGATTTGAAAATTGACGGAAAAAACAATCGTGCGAGGACCAAATGGTTCGAAACATATAGATCGAAAAATTTAATTTATAATTCTTACATCCCATCCCCCTGCTTCCCTTTTAAATCTAAGATAAAGACTGCACTGACATTGATACGAGTATATGCGTAAAATTATTACCTTCGAGCAAGATGTACAAAAAATGCAGGTAACGTGATAATTTTTTTAGCTTCATATCTAGAAACATACAAGACATATAAGTTTAAAAAATGGACGAGAAGTAGTTTATATTTGACTAAATATAAATTATTAATGTATCGAAAAATAATATTTGAGATAGAGATACAGATCCTAAAATTTATTATTCCAAAAGAAAATATATTAGTATGTATTTTTACAATTTCTTAGATTGAATAATTAATACATGCGAATTCATATAATTATTCATTAAAATTACAAATATAATATTTTATTTTAAATTACAAATATAATAAGCATTAAATTTTATATAAGATATCTCTTATATTTTTTCATACACTTTATTTCATACTCATACTTTAATTTTTCATCAGTAAAATATTGACATGTACGAAATAGTTTCGAACCCACGTATTATTATTTTAATTCGAGTCAATCTGTAAAACAAGTTACTATTCAACGAAATTCGCTCAATAAAGTTTATTAACCTTTTGTGGCTAAAATTATTTTCGTTATGGTTAGGCCGGTCCGCATCAATTTGGCAACTTTTTGTGGTCGAACACTTTCTCGTTTTCAGATTACCGTAACTATCTAACCAAATAAATGTATTCTAATGTATATATATATATATATATATATATATATATATATACATTAGAATACATTTATATATATATATATATATATATATATATATATATAATGTTGTGTATATATATATACGCAACATTATCATAAAATATAATATAAGTATAATTTCAAAATTATAAATTCAATTTCATATAACTTAATTTTCCTACATGAAATAAAAATATTATGTTTGTGAAGTGTTTTGGAAGCTTAAATATATTAAAAAATAGGATATATCCTTAAAATTGCTGTTTTTTAAAGACAATCATTTAAATCAATTATAGCTCTTTTTAAAGATCGTCTAAAACCTTTTTAAAATCGTTTTAATCAATTAAGACTATTATTTTACCATTTTCTATCTTATTCTTAGGAAATTATGTACAAGAGGGTTGAACAGAAAGATCGTGCTCAAACAAAACAACCCTAAACAAGTGTTAACTGTAGCAATAAACCCCGTTTCGTCCCCAACCCCTTATGTCGTGGCAGTACACGAGCGGCTGACCCTTTTCACCCTTGCGAGCACTCGAACTCGAGAGCATCGCGAGTCCTTCAAAGGTCGTAAACAAATCTGGCATCGCGTTTTAAAGATTTCCTCTCCGTCGACACGTGCCTCGCAGGCTCCGATTATCTATATGCGCGCAATCTCAATTAATGGTGCATTGTGAAGATTGAATTAGTAAGTAGAAGGACTCATTTACGTTACCTGCGCAAGATAGTATTTTCACATAGATAGATTCTTCTCTAGAAGAGAACTGCTTTCTTTTTATCAGATAATTTTATGAGAGTTAAATATTTTTGAAAAAATTCCAATACATGAAAATTATATTATAATATTCTTTTATTTATGCCAAGAATTTTTCGTTGGTTAAAAAATTTGTTAAATTGAAATATTGACTTTTTTCTCTTTTTGGTTTAATCTCATCAGTTATTATAAAAATATTGTGATACAATTAAATAAATAAATCTACATTAATAAAATTATGTCTAATATATATTTAAATCAATAAACTTTCTTATGTTTAAATGAATAAATATACATTATTAAAATTTAATACATAATTAAGTCATCATTCGCGTGAAACTTTTGGATAAACTTTTATATACGTGACTTTTTTCCTAAATTTAATAAGAATTATCGCTGTTTATTTCGTTCTCTACGCGATAGTTACGTTCGTCGTTGATTAATTTGCGTGGCGTGACGCGAGATCGATTAGGGGATTACGCGATACAAATAGTTCGCGAAAATAACAGCGGAAATATCTTGGGAAAATAGTTGTCAGAGTGGCGAGTGCGCGGGATACGTATTTACCATTTCGTTTTGTCCGGGGTTTGCACGTACGGGACCGTAATGGGCTCTCGGCCCACAA